TGCTTTAGCCCGCTGCGCCACCAGGGAGGGCCCCATAATAGTATTTTAAAACCAAATCTATTTTAACCTCTTAATAACAGTTTTTAAGAAAATAAAATGAGGCTCTCCCTGGTGGCACAATGGGTTAAAGAGCAGCACTATGAAGCTGTCTGCAGTCATTGAAGCATGAGTTCAATCCCTGGCCAGGGAGGTGATCCATATGGTGCAGCAGAACCTCTCTCTTCTCACGTGCCACTCCCTTCAGCAGTGTACTTCATTGATCTGTCTGTTTTGCTCCCCACTCTGGCTATGGTCAATCCTCTCACTGCCCCTGCACTCTGGCCTGTACCCCACGTCTGTACGCATAAATAAATAAATCTTTAAAAAAAAAAGGAATGCTTTGAAAAATTCTGAAACTAAAGTTTCTAAGGTAATGAATTACACTAAATTAAGAGGTCTGAAATTAGGTTATTGACATTTAACAATTCACAAGAAAAAAATGGCAGCTCATCAGTGAAAAAAAGTGCAAACTTACTGGAATAATCAGGGTGGGGTGTGCTTCTTCAAGTTTCCCCTTCAACCAAATGAAATCTTGATAACGCCTCCTAACTTCAAATTCGCTGGAGTCAAATTCTCCACGAGATGTCTAAGGAAAGAAAACAGCACATGTAATATAAGACATTTGCCTGACGTTATTTTAGACATTCTGAAATAAATGTGTCTCTAAGAAAAATTAACAAATTCTAATTATTCAGTGTTTGTCAGCCTTTGCTTTTTTTTTTTCAATCATCAATTCATGTAACAGATGAAACAAAGCAAACTTTCCAGTATTTCCAGAAAGAAAGCAAACACCATGCTCAAATTTCAAATCCAAACTGAAAAATCTGTCTTAGAGCAACCATCTGCCTTCCACAAGATTTTAACTACTATTATCTTTGGCATGACTTTCTTGTTAAAAAGTGTTCTGAATTTAGGTTTCAAATATATTTCCTTTTTCAAGTGGATGAGGATTCATAATTTGAGGAAAGTCCTATTTTTACAATTTGGAAAATAACCTGAACGTAACTGAGAAAAAAATGTTTTCTTGGAATTGGTCCAAATGAATTGCTTTGCTAAAATTTACTTTCAGTATATGAAAATTCTAACATTTTACAGAATGATTTACCACTGTTTTTTAAAATGTTATTAATGGATATTTGATGTGAAAAGAAAATGTTCCTGTCAATTCTCAAGGAATTTTATTTTGAGTTATGTGGTTTAACTCCCCAAATTTAAGCAAATATATTAAAATATCTGTTCTCAACAAACCGACAATCTATGCCAAGACATTTGACAAAAAAAACATGGGTACAATATTAACCTCATTTCTTTTGCTGAATCCCAAAACCAGATAACCTAATGTACATTCACCTTACCCAAGAGTTAGTCCCACCCTTATCTTATTTAACTGAACTTTTGTGTATCAAAAATCATATGCATCAATATTAAAAAGGAAATTTTACTGGAGAAGTAAAGATGGGCCAATACATTTTCTACATATTTCACATTCAGCAGAAACATATGAACACAATGTAAAATTAAGCAATTCAAGTCAAAGATACAATGTAAACTGTCATGAAATAAGACTCAGAAAAGTTATACCTTCCTATGTTTATAATTTTTTTTTTTAAAGATTTATTTATTTGTACATACAGAACTGGGGTACAGGCCAGAGGCTCAGGGGTGGTGAGAGGCTTCACCAGAGACAGAGTGGGGAGCAGAACAGGCAGATCGCTGAAGTACACTGCTGAGGGGAGCAGCGGGCGGGTCAGGAGAGGTCTGCCACGCCATGTGGTCTCCTCCAGGGCAGGCGGGAATCGAACTCATGCGGAAGTGGCTTTAGCTTCTCAGTGCAGTGTTTTAACCCGCTGCGCTACCAGGGAGAGCCCCTATGTTTATAATTTTAAACTAATGTTTAGAATATTACACAATGTACCTTAATAAAAATTACCATTTTCATGGGAAAAGAATGAAAGTAAATGCTACAAAAGTTTTAGGAATTAGATGTGCACAAAATATAAAATCTTATTAGAAAAGGGACAGAAATTGTGGAAATGCTAAAGTAGGTAAATTAATCTAACAGACAATTTAACAATATAAACACGAACCACTGGATACGGTATGTGTGTGTACACATACACATGCACACAAAACACAGTTCAGTGTCACTCATTAAAAGCATACTATCTGGCCCTCCCTGGTGGTGCAGCGGGTTAAAGCACTGCACTGAGAAGCTAAAGCCACTTCCGCATGAGTTCGATTCCCGCCTGCCCAGTAGGTAACCACATGGCGTGGCAGACCTCTCCTGGCCCGCCCACTGGTCCCTTCAGCAGTGTACTTCGTAGATCTGTCTGTTCTGCTCCCAGCTCTGCCTCTAATAAAGCCTCTCACCCTCCGCATCTCTGGCCTGTACCCCAGTTCTGTATGTACAAACAAATCTTTAAAAAAAACAAAAAAGAAACATACTATCGACTATGTCCTTGTGTCAGGCACAAACATACAGCTTCACCATCAATCTCCAAACATTTCAATTAAAAAGACTCAAAAACTGGGCCAATTCCAATACTTTAAGCAACCAAGAAACAATTGGATATAAATTCCAGCAAGAGGAAGATATAAAATCAAGTTAAACTGGTTAATTCTGTCCCCATGACTCGGACACTAACTTCATCATTCTTTAATATACTACCATAACAGAAGAAGAAAATAAAAGACAAATATAAATCTCAAGGACAGGGTGTTCTTTTTCCTACTGTACTAATGTGAATAACTCTTAGTAACTGTATGTCTAAGGATGAAATCCATATAATGGCTTATAAAGAATATTTTTCTGAGACAAACAAGTACTGGGAAGATGATTCAAGTTTATAAATTCTTTGCTGGGAAGGATGAGGATGATGAATACCTATGAGAAATCTAGCTTTTACTCTTATGTCTGTATCAATACATGCAACAGTTACTAATTCAAACCAATTTTATGCATCCCTATATTCACTACAGCAGGAGTTTCAATTGCTAAGATCTGGATACAATGAATGATTGGATAAAGAAGATGTGGTATAGACATAATAAAATAGTACTCAGCAATTTAAAAGATTAAATCTTTCATTTGCAGCAATATAGGTATAATTACAGGGCACTGCCAGTGAAACAAGTAAGATGGAAAGTAAAGATACAAACAAAACCAGTATCTTAGATTATGAGAACAAAATGGTGGTTATTGGGGGGGTGATGGGATGGTGGGTGCGTAAATCAGATAAAGGGGACCACCTATGTGGTGGTGGAAGGAAATGAAACTTTTGGTGGTAATCTTCATTTATGTACAGGAGTCAAATTATAATGTTAGATACCTGAACCTATGTAATATTATTAACCAATGTTACTTCAATAATTTTTAATTAATTCAAAGGCCAGATGACATTCTTACTGTTAGATGTATTAGAAACGAGGAAACTAAATACAAAATGTTAATTAAAGATACTAAGCAAAGAAGGAAGAATCAATATTCAACTCCATATTATCCTATTCTAGAGCCTCTTGATAAGACTGAAGTTGATATGAAAACTTTCTCATTTTGTTCAAAAAGTTAAATCGCTTACTTTCAATCACTTAAGGATTCCTTGAGAAGATCACAGGTACATTGGTAATAAATATAAATAATGGCACAGTTCTCACATATAAGTAGGTGGTAATTGTTGAAGGCTTATTATGTGTCAGGTTAAGTTTTTGCTAAGTTTTCCCTCTGATTAGCTATACTAAATCTATTCTTACAGAAAAATTATAAAGTCAAGTTCTATACTCATTCCAGTTTTATAGATTTAAAAACTAAAGCCTAAAAGGATTAAATATATTCTTTTGATGTCTTTGTACACCAACTGCAATGTTTTACATTCTTGAAGAGTTCAGAAAACAAAAAAGGACTTTTCAGCCAGAGGGGCAGAAGGAAGCAGGCAGTGATCAGCCAGAGAAGACTTCCCAGGCATCTTTTTATGTCTTGAAAAATACATAGTAGTTCATCTGCCAAAGAAGGGGAAGGACATACCACACAAATGGAAAAGCATATGCAAAGTCATGAGGAAGAAACATCCTAGAATATTCAGGAAATAGAAGCAGTTCTACAAGAAGGGAATAGAATTAAATGTAGAGAGAATAAGAGATGTTCTTCATATGTCATACAAGGAGTTTGCACTTTATTCTATAGGAAATGAGAAGTCTAGGAAGTATTTAAAAATTCTGAGTAAAGAGATTAGGTGTATACACACACACACACACACACACACACATGCTTATCTATGTATGAAATACGACTAGCTAAAGTAAGGTTATATTAAAAGAAACGTTTATAGCAAGATGATTCAAAACTGTGTAGCTACAAAAGAAATGTACTACAAGAGACTTAGGATGAGGCTTCATAAAGAAGATTCTATAGCTTATAAGTAGAATTTTTATAGGTTACTATTACATGTTTATTAAAAGTCAAATAATTATATTTTATAATTGTTTTATTTTTTAGAGGTAAACTGGCTTTTTCTAGACTTGTTCTATGATTAAGGATACTTGGGTTCTAGATCTCTTTGGTCCTTGAATTGTTAGGCAACTAACAACAGCTCATATATAAGATAAACTGGCTGTTTGCTTTTATGAAATTATTTTTACAATCAAAGGCAGCATCTATAGTCTAGAAAATAATCATTAAGTATTTACCTTAGTAATAATCCTGTAAGTAATAAACGTTTCAATTGTAGTAACATGGCTTTCAGGTTCATCGACTATAATGAAGAGATCTTTCATATCTTGCTCATCTTCAAACTTGACTTGGTTAATCATTGATAAAGGGGATGTTGGCATCGTAGGGCTGAAGGAATTTATGTCCATAAACGAGGCATCCTAAGAGAAACACATTTAAAAATTATTGTCAATATAAAGAATAGTTGAAAGTCCTCGTTTTCTTAGACACCACCAATAGTAATAAAACGTTAAGAACAACGAAGGATAAGTGGACTTCTGGTTAGATATGCTGCACTGAACCTGTATTTTTATCTCAGCTTCATTTTAAAATCTCACTTAAAAATATTATCAGGGCCCTCCCTGATGGTACAAATGGGTTAAAGTGCAGCATTATGAAGCTATCAGCAGCCACTGAAGCACAAGTTTGATCCCCGGCCAGGGAGGTGACCCACATGGCGCAGCAGACCTCTCCTGTCACGAATAGCAAGATTATAATTGAGCAGTATTCTACTGGGTGCACAGACCCCATCTTAATCCAATCATTTTTTATCGGTGACTTCAGTTGCTTCAAAACCTGGGTTATTGTAAATAATACTGCAATGAACAAAGTACTACATATTTCCCTTCAAATTGATGTTTTTGCACTCTTTAGATACCTTGGAGTAGCATTGCTGGATCACAGGTTAGAGCGAGTTGAAAAACTTGAGAAACTTCCACACTGTTGTCCAGAGGGACTGGACCACTCTATATTCCCACCAATATTTGTAAGAGAGTAATTTTTTTTTTCTACATCCTCCCCAACACTTGTTGTTTCTGGTCTGTTTGATACGAGCCATTCTTAAGGGTGTAAGGTAATATCTCATTGTGGTTTTGATTTGCATTTCCCTGATAATAGGTGACAAAGAGCATTTTTTGGCCCCTTGTAAGTTTTCTTTGAAGGAATGTCTAGTCAGCTCTTCTGCCTATATTTTGATTGGGTTATTTGTTTTCTTGTTGATGAGCTGCATCATTTCACTGTACATTTGAGATAAAAGCCACTTATCAGATACACAATATGCAAATGCTTTGAGAAAGTATTTTTTTAATTGATCGTATTCACAGGTGGAATCTATTATTCCCATTTCATATAAGCATCAGTCACATGCTTTGAGAAAGTACTTTTAAAAATTAAAGGATCTAGGCAGACAGATCCTAAATAAAAGGAATTTCAAAAAAATTAAGGAGAAATTTGTTCTTGCAACTGAAGTATTTCCAGGTTGTTGTTTTTTAAAGACTTTTTAATTTATGCATACAAGAACTGAGGTACAGACCAGAGCTGTAGGGGTGAGAGGATTCACCAGAGACAGAGTAGGGAACGGAACAGGTGGACTGGCTGAAATACACTGCTGATGGAAACAGCGGGCAGGTAAGACAGGTCTGTTGCACCATCTGGGTCATCTCCCTGGCTGGGGATTGAACTCATGCTGCTGTGGTTGTGGATAGCTTCATAGTGCTGTGCTTTAACCTCTTGCAGCAAAAGAGAGGCCCCACTACTTCTAGGTTGATAGGGACTATCAGGCCTCCTCAAAACGAATGAAACAGTTATGGGGTAAACAGTATGTCTACAAGAGTCCGTCACCATGGCACAACACGGTAGCAGAGATTTTTCAAAATTTTAAATTCCATAAAGACAATACAATAGGATCTCAGCAATCAGAATGGTATCAGATTCAATAGTAATACCACTGGAAATGGAAAGACAATAAAATAATAACTTCATGGTTTTGAGAAGAAAATATTTTCATGCAGTCTACTACAATGTATAGCCAGATAAATTGTAATTTTAAATAGAATGAAGTCATTTCAGATATGAAAGATTTAAAAAACTGACTTGCCAGGCACCCATTCTTTGGAAGCTTCTGTCTTTCCCCCAAATATAGGTATATACTAAGAAGGAAGAAATAGGATCTAAAAACAGTAATTTAAAAGAAAAGGAGAACTAAAGAAATTTTGCTGGATGACAGTGAAAAATGGGTTCTAGTCCTATTTCTGCCATTGACTAACTAGGTAACCTTGAACAATTAATTCAGTCTTTATAGCTTAAATCAAGGAGTTGAACTTGAAAATCTCCAAAGTCTCTTGCAGTTCAAATGCTAAAGTAACACAACTTCTGAATGTATTGAAGTAGTAGAATATAGCAAAATTCTAAGATTTTTAAGAAAAGGTACATTATTATGGTACTATAAATGGAAAAAGTATGAAATTATAATATAGATTCAATTTCTTTTTTTTTGCAAAAACAAAAATCAACAATATTTTTCAAACATCAATTAACATCCCATACAAAAGTTAGTTATGTGAGGGGGCCTTCCTGGTGGCACAGGTGTTAAGTCTCAGCACTATCAAGCTATCAGTCGCACTGCAGCACAAGTTCGATCCCTGACTAGGGAGGTAACCCACATTAGAGAGGTGACCCACAGGAGCAGCAGACGGCTGCTCCCCTCAGCAGTGTATTTCAGTAGATCTGCCTGTTCTGCTCCCCATTGTCTCAAATACTCTCATCCTCTATACCTCTGGCTTACACTGTAGTTGTATGCACAAACCCAATAAATCCTTAAATAATGTTAGTTATGTGAACTGTTATACAGCATCTGGTAATCCTCAGTGCAAGAATACAAAAGATATTATGGTAGACAAATTGAAGAGACAATAATATCAATAGTTATTTAGATTCAAGGCTTATGATTACAAAATGGCTTCTGAAAGGAAACAGGCATAATTGGGTTCAAAGATTAGAAAGCAAATTACAGTTGGATTAACAAGACACACAGACCAGAGACACAACAAATGTTTTGCAACAAAAGCCTTCACTGATAGATACATTAAAGGCTACCCATATGACAGACTACAATGAAGAGTTTAAAGGTAATGATTTAGAAAAATAAAGAGAAACTTGGACAAAGGGTTCACAGTACTTTGTTAACAGAAACTTGCAGATTATAAAATCTGTATACACAAGAATCTAATGTGTGTAAGTGTACTCATGTATGATATAATAGGGGACTAATGGGCAAGGAACAGTATAGGCGTGGGGGGGGAGCTTAGAAAGAGGGTGCAGATATGTAAAACCTACGAGTTACACATAAAAATAGTTAACAGAAGTTACTCCAAATGTTGGGATTGCTGTTTGAGTTTAATATGTTCACATGTAAGTTTCTGTATTTGTAAATATTCTAAAATAAACATCTATTATTTTTGGGAAAAAAAGTTGAAATTGTTAGTCAACACTGTACACAATGTTTCAGAGACAATAGAACTATTATGATAAGTAAAAAAAAAAAAAAGGTCTAGGCCATTATGGCAGAAGATTTTGGATTACATTTGATTTTTTAAAAACTCATCAAAACTGCACAGTTAAACAGAAAATTTTAAAGATGTCTGAAATTGCATTTAAAATGGCTTGTCAAAATAAATTATGAGATGCTGACACAATGGATTACCATAACAGCCATTAAAAAACAGAATTTAGAGGTTCTGACTAAATGTGCAATTAGCATCTACAAAAGCCTCTCAATAGCCATTTCATATAAATACTAGTTTTTAAACTGATAAACTTTAATTTGATGGGCAAATGTACTTTTAAATTTCACTGACATTGAAGACAGCCACGTGTTTTGGCATTCTTTGTTGTCAGCCTCTTAACTCACCACAACCCACTTCGTTTACCTACTACATAATTTAGCATTCTATTTCTTCTACTTAAAATGCATCCTTTTGTAGAATGGAATGATCTGCATGAATTTACAAAGGCTCACAGTTCCAATGAGTGTAGTATGGTGTCATAAAATATGCTTCCATATCTTGCAAAGAAAGAAAATTACAGGCTGAAATTTAGCAACATCCAAGATTTCAGTAGAAGGACTGAAATTACTATGAATCACTCAAAAACATTCTTAAAACCTCAACAACACTGACTATACAAAAAAGTGTTTTATATTCACTTCAAAAAAGGGAAAGAAAATATACTGACAATAGTTAAAAGATTTACATTTGGACATGAGCAAATGAAGAAAATAAATGTTTAAGAAGATCCAAAAGAAGCAATTAACCAAAAAAGAAAAAAAATCCATTTAACCTTTTGTGGTTGATGCTTTTCAGGAGTAATGGATCACTGAAATGTGTTCTTTCAGAACAAAGGTCTCCCTTCCACAATCTGCTTGCCTCATTCTCCTACTAGTTCTCTCTCTCATTTATACATTCTTAGCAGTTGGACTTATTTCTTCAGATCATGAAAATACATCTTTCTGTTTTTCTTTAAGACATTAGAACAAAAGTGTGAGCATCTATGTAATAAATCTCTGCCTCTTAAATAACACTAAATACCTTTTCCAATATCTAGCATAATGAAAACTCTCATGCAACAAAAAATCTTGGGATGATTTAAGGCTGAGATTTGAATTAACAGAAAAGTTAAATTACTCAAGGAATCATCACTCTTTCACCCTTACTCCAAACCAACAACATATCTACTATAAAATTACTTAAGTTATCTTGCTGAAATAAACGGACATTAGAATTGTTAACTTGATATTGAAATTTACTGACAAACTCACTTTCAAATTGAGTGCAAGTTTTGTGTTTTTGATAATTTTGGTTTATTGTTAGAATTTGTTGTGGGTTGAACTGTGTGCTCCTCAAATATGCTGAAGTCCTAAGCTGGGTTCCGCAGAACATAACTTTATTTAGAGGGTCTCTATAGAGGGAATCAAGTTACCATGGTCATTGGGAAAGGCCCTAATGCAATATGACCAGTGTTCATATAAAAAGGGCAAGAGGTTAGTGCAGGGAAAGGCCATGTTAAAGGACCCAGAGACACTAGGCCATCTCTAAGCAACACTGAAATGGCTGCAACAAATCCTTCTCTTACAGGCCTGCTGAGAACTTCATTTTAGACTTGGACCTTCCAGAATGAGATCATACATTTGTTCCCAACCCTTATCTGTGGTACTTGGCCCGGGAGCCCAGGCAAACTAGCAGCTTGTCTATACATAGAGTTGTACATAATTAAAATGGGAAAGAAAGAAGAGTAGGAGAAAAGTAATCATGATTCAAATATTCCATCCTTGCACCATTTTTTTTTTAAAACTGGTTGCCAATAACCCCCAGAGATTTCTGAAAAC